GCTTAGTTATTAGATGCCCGAGATCCGGGGAGTGTCGCATTTAGTTTCCATTATCAGTACAAACAAAACTGCCAACTGCCAAACAAACTGATGTTCCGACGAAAGCTGCATATTGAATGATTCGGTCTCCGTAAATTTTACAAATCCTCGCTTTTCAGCAACCTATGATGCGCGCATTGACGGCCAAAACTTGTCGTAGTAGCAGCGACCTCTTATTGTATACCATTCTTCCGACTATTATTACCAGGGCACAACACCCGTTGTAAAAAAACGACGGAGGAGGACGCAATGTGCTGCGGGGGTTCAGGATTGCTCTCAGAAAATATTTTTTATGATTGAATTTTCCCGTTTCAAGCGCTCATCATCATCAAAATCACGAAAGGGCTTTTATTTTGGCGGTCGGAAAATGGAATCGCAAAGGTGTTTCCGCGCTACCAGAAAAATTTTTTCGTTTGTGAAGTTTCCCCTCCGCCTACTTGGCGGCTCTGCAAAACAACCGTACAGTTCACTATTTCTTGCAGTAATTTGTCGCAGCTGTTTCCATAGGGCTCTTCCATCTTCTTCCGATCGACGATGAAATTTTAGAAAAATACGTTGCCTAGAGGAGAGAGGGATCATTCAGAGGAAGCAAATCGGGTGGGTGGGGGGGGCTGGTCGTATTCTTTCTTATTTACACGCTCAGCTCTGTTTTTTTGGATCACATGTATGCAGCTGGAGTAAATCAGCAATTAAGAGAAGGGTAACGCTCACAGTTCTGCCCTATTGTTGACACCAACAAGGAATTGTCTGCACTTTCTCAACAAAGAGTACCGTATATTACCGTTGGAAAATAGTTCCTGAAGTAGAAGTACAGCTAGTTGTTATTCCTCCAACAGCCTACGTCGTGTGGTTCACTCCGACGAGCAACAAGCGCAATGTATGGGTACTACATGAAGTACGACAATGATGAACGGCCACATCATCTAATGGCCCCCAGTTGTTCAGCTCGTAAATTATCACATTATCGCCATACGCGGCCAATGTTGCACTGGAGTGTAGATATAGTTGTATTCGTATGGTTGGGGGATAGTGTTCCTCCTCTTCTCTGCGGAGAAGGGAGATCATACTTTAATACTCGTTTGGATCGTTGAGGAGATAAGGAAATAGCAGGTTTCAAAATTAACAACCTCATGCGGCAAGAAAATCCATGAACGGCCGTATACCTTTAAAGGCAGTTGGCACGATGGTTTCCTACTTAGCCTAAAATGCTAGTAGGGCGCTGTATAGTGGGAAATGGCGAAAGAACGGAGTGAAACGGTCAAAATCCGGCGAAGAAAAAGCCTCCGTTCTCAGTGACTTGTAAATCGATTTCGGACGAGTTTCCCGTACGCATCTTACCAATCACCGCTACCGAAGATACGGCTGCATATGTGCACCCATGTATGCATGCAGCATCACGGCCGCTTCATACCAATCCCCGCCTTCGCTTTGCATTGAGTTGCTTAGGCAAATGGAATGAATACCGAAGCGTCAGGAATCGGTCGTCCCATCTTATGGAGGGCGGGCAAGGAAGGCGTTTGGGACGTAAAGTTGTTGCTCAATAGGGCGTTATAGAGGTACCCTCCTTGGAAAAGGCTTCACGCAGCGCCTGTCCGAGGTCACGGAATTCTGTTAAGCCAGTTGTACAAATCCTACACCTGTATAACGATTTATCGTGCCAACTGCCTTTAATGTGTTTGCATTGTGGTGTGGTTTGCATTAGATATTTCACTTGGAAGCTCGGTAAAACTTTCTAGAAAACTTATGACGCATGAATAATTACCTACCACGTGTGGACCACTTCCCATATCTTTCCGCTAAGGAGTGTATACAGTTAGTATTTGAGTAGCAGCAAGCTCAGGAAGAGTGCTAGCGCAGGAGTTCACACAGGACGCAATCAATGTAAGGCTGCGTTCATGCTTCGCGGCAGCGTCGTCAGCGTTCACCAGCGTCCACTAGCAATGTCAGCGATTGAGAATGCATAGCTTCAATCTAGCGTTCGCGAACAGGGTCTACCAGCATCCACCTATAGAGGGTAGCAAACAGCTGGTTAGAGTGGGGGATATAGGAGGGTTGGCAGACTGCTGGTAGAGAGTATGACGCGATAGGATAGTACCAGCTGTCTGCTACTCTAACAATTGAGTCATGTGCTCTCCCTCCCCGACTCTTTGACGCTGGTGCAGGCTGGCAGACGCTAGAACGATATCTATACTTTCCTAGTCGCTGGCACTGCGGACGCAGAACACGATGGACGCTATTTGTCGCTAAGCGGATGCGCCCCCTTGAGCGGTGTGGATAAATTGCAGAGTACTTGGGAACCAACCCACGCGTTTGTCGTGTGCATACTTGAAGTTCCTGTGTTCCTGTTGGCGACCCTACAACGGAAACAGATGGAGGACAGCGGCTGTCAGAGCATCCAGATGTGCAAAAAGCACGGGATGGGCTTTTCCAAGTGAGGGGGCTTCGAGTGGGTGAGCTATTAATTATGTACAAAAGTAACCCATGAGGTCACGGAAACCTTAACTAATAGGGCGGAGCGAACGTGGAATCAGTTGTAGTTTGAAGGGATCAATTCAGGTTGCCCAATGTCCGTAGACCCGTTGTTCGGTCGTTAGTGACTCTGAATAGTTGCAACACTGCTATTCTTGCTTCTCACCTCAAATTCTCAAATTCTTCCTAAATGTCAGTAGTAATAGGGTAAAACGCGGTTGAAGGAATGGTGAATGAAATGTCCATGTTCCAGGTGGCGAACAATGCAGAACAGATGATCGGAATGCTCAATTGCTTCTACGCGAATTCACAGCTCAGCCATAGAGAGCGTAAAATTGTCTGGGATTTCTTGCACAAAAAGCTTGGTAAGTAATATCCTATAGACAGTTCGCTTTGTTACAATTTATTTAAACGGTTATTTTTGCACTGTTTCAAACGCTAATAGTACAGACCCGCCAAGAACAGGACGAACTCCCTACTACTCCTTGTATGGGATGAAAAAAATTTCATCACCAAAAAATTTAGTCGAATCACAGCAGGTGTAGGCTAGTTGTAACGTTCGTGGACACCCTACTAATCAGTAGCTTTTCTAGTATGTCATGTCTGATAGAACCTTCTTTCCTGTAACCATAAATTGCTTTCCATTCTAACCTTCAGAGCTCAACGCAGAAAGTGCTCAGCCTCTGTTATTTCGAGTAATCGAAAGCGGCGCAAAACACACCCATTGGCTCTGGAAAAGCACGGGAAGCAGCTCAAAAATCTCCGTTTCGTTCCCCAACGCGAAGATCGATCCGAACCGTTTGTTGTCAGTGCAGTCGATGGTGCAGCAGTGAATGGATGTGGTGTATCAAAGTATATCTCCCAGGAATTCCCACCCAGGTTCTGGGCTGTAAGACGCATTTCGCAGAGTTCTTTACATGGATGCGCCTTACACTGCAGAAAACCGGGTACGCGGTTCACCTTAGGGAGTTACCTTCCTGGGTGAAACACTCATATGGAGGCATCTGCATAGTTCCCGGTCGCGATACAAGGGTTGCCTTTCCAGTCGACACCTGATCAATATCGGAATCTCCTCTCAGCAGCGCTCTTGTTTCGTCAAGCTGGCCGCTCACGTCGCGATGCAACGTTGGAATTACCGAAGTTAAGAACTTACCCCTGCAAAAGGAATCCCTGAAGAGGGAAAAAAGCGCCATTCAGCCGCAGTGTGGGTGAATACAGGGAACACTTTGTCCGAGTCGCATGTCAGTTCAGGCAGGCCCAGACATGAAGACGTTGAATAGGAGTACCATGGGGTGGAGGAAGATACCCCAAGATGTTTCTCTAAGCAGGAGCGAGCTCTCGTCGATCACTTCATGTACACCAGAGTACGAAGTTGTTCCAATCGCAACCAGAATGGAGAAGGCCTATGGGTCACGTCATCTATAAACAACTGCGAAAGTTTTTGTATCGAGTCATCCATAGAGTCTACCTGGGGACCGGCGCTCTTGATCTGAAGCCTCGAACATCGAGCAGCCCTGACACGGTCGCAGCAGTAACAAGAAATTAGCCTGCAATACAGTCGCCAAGGCGCAGGGCTGATAATGGCGGCATCCGAAGTTTTTTCCTGTACTGGGAAGACCAATATTTTCTTAGTGGACCGGACTGAAAATGAACGCTGACCGTAACAATCGAGCAACTCGAGGAGAATATCCTGCCTTCATGTCGTCGCCTGTACCATCTTGGAAATTTCGTAGTGCTACAGGATTGGGTGCCTCCACACGGAATAGAAAGGGCTTGGAAAAACTGCTCGCCTACTTGGAATCGTAGGGCGTTGAGCACGTAGAGAAGTTGGATATCCTAGCATGCCACCTGTCCTAACCCCCCTCCCCCCACCCTCCGTCGATTTTCGGGAGGAGCTCAAAGGTAGTCGACAGTGCCGGAAGAAGTCAGACCTCGTTTAACAGTCGGCACCGAAACAACGGTCACGAGGAGAATGCTTCCCATGGCTTAGAAGCAGTGGCGGATTTTCGTGATCGTGTGCAATGTGTTGTTGAATTTGATGGTGAAAATGTCCGATCAGAATTAAAAAAGGAGGCTCCGCCTGAGAGTGGAGAAAGAATTGTCTTCTTATTCGCCCCTCCATGTAGAGGTGATACAATCACCAAGTGCACCAGTGATGACTAAGAGGAACCAATGTCGATGGAAACGGCAATAGTTGAAGGTATTATATAATGAGTTTTATTTTTTGTCTTTTATTTGCTATCCAGTTGACTCACGATCCTCCACAGTTGACATGTAGGTTATCTTTCCTCGAAGCACGAAAGCCATCCATGTATTGTACTTGGATGTTTTCAGTGTGTGGCCGCATCCGTTCTGTACGTTGCTGTACAGCGAAGGAATTGAGGAGGACAAAGATAATGGAGTCATTCTGCGAGTAAAACGATACTTGGAGGTTTGAGCATAGTAACTTCCTAGCCGGGTGTGCCTAGCCGGGTGTGCTCTACCTAACCTTTGTTCAGCTGAACATCTCCTCGTGGTCAATTCGTTTGCTCAAAACGGCCGAATGTCTACGGAAGGTTCCTCGTTTCACTTGGGCGAAATTCTATGCAAAATAGGCAGAATTCTGCCACGATTGTGTTGTGACTTGCTTAAGTACCTGTAACTTGTTTAAACTTCAACAGTTATTAAAGAATAAATATTTTTGTGCGACTTAAAGGATAACGTTCCACGGACGTCTCGTTTTCATTTTCGGCATTTGTGTTTGCACAATGCCCTGCTTTTTCAAGCATGCTAGTTCTTTCAGATCTGCTGAAGTATCTGAGGACAAGGTTTTTCTACATCATACTATCAAAGACACCGCTCTGGCTGTGGTGTAGTGGCGAGCGGCACCTTTACCATGCGCGCGAGCCCGGGGTCAAATTTTGGGCCGGCTCCCTCCGAGGAAAATCAAGTCTTCTTTCCTTCGAGGGCTGTAAATTGGTACCTGATTTGCTAATTTTGAAGGTATAACAATACTGACCTGTACATTGACCGGTCCCGCAAGACATTGTAGGAGCCACATCGCATTCAAAAAGCTACTACGATTCCAAAAGGAAGAGAAATGTATGCTGCATCCCAAGAAAAGGACTGATCAGAGGCGTTACAGCTGAGGTATGCTGACGACTCGAATAGAGATGTAACACCTGACTGGTCCAAGAAATGGCAGTCACCTATTGCTCCGCAGAAAACTGTTTACATGCACCTCAACCCCGGAATTTTCCAACCATCGTCCTCGTACACTGTGGATGGGGTCCCCCTCCACCTGCCCAGTCTGTAAGAGACCTCGGGCTTCATCACACTGACAAATTAGATTTTTCGGAACATGTTAAAAGGAGGGTCCAAACGGCTTACTTGCTCATATTTCACATTTCCAAAGGCAGACGTATACTACTATCAGTAGCAAACACACAAGCATTAGCGTGCCTACAAGGACTATATTCGACCCTTGGTAGAAGCTACTCCTACGGCATTCACCCTACGAAAAAGACGCACATTTACGCACTTGAGAAGGTACAAAATAGTTAATTGGAACTGGTCAATTTATATACATCAAGAAAGTGCCGCCAATGGCATCGATAGGAATGATTCTTGTCTTGCGAATATCATCTATACAATGTTTTTTGACGTTTGGTCTTAGTCAACAAGCCATTAGAAGCTGCGTTGAGTCTGGTTCCGCTAATGTCTTCAACACATGTTCATTCACACAGTGGTCAATCAGGTGGTCCATTGGATATCTTCTTGGCCCCAAAAACCCAGACTTAGTTTATCGTGGCAAAGCTTCAACCTTCAGGGTAGACAGGCGCGTTCAAGTTAACAAGAACCTACCTGTCACTTTGTCACATTCCTCATTTCAGCTAGGGTCAAGCACCACTTCGCGGATCCTCGAGAAAAAATAGGAGTTCGCGAAACCCACGACAGGGGTCGTACTTGTCCCGCTCGGGAGGCGGAGGATCGTATTTGCACAGGTCAGTACTCCACGCTGCAGCGACGTAGCGTGCAGAATGAGCGATGCGTTCGGAAAAGAAAAAGAGGGATGCATGGCGCACCTATGAGCTAACGCAAACATCTTTGTGGCGCCGGGTCCCCCATCCGGTAACATGATAGAGAGGCGACCGAAAAGAGAACGGATAGCCTTCAATGCTTCCCAGGTGAAAATGTGGGCTTTATTGGGCGGAAATCCTCATATTGCAGCGTAAGTTGACTCTCAACGAGAAATCCGCGACGGGCGAAATTCAGTTACAGTGGAACTACGGCAAAGGTAGTTGCTAGCAGGTTAGATAGAGAAAATCTTCCAGATCCTGATGCCATATGGGCCTTCCTTCTACAATGTGTCTTAAACGAGTTATGGCCTTCGAAATGTAAAAAAAAAAAAAAAAAAAAATTTTCCGCATATGCTGCTCCAAAAATTATTCGCGTGTATTTTTTGTCATTATCCGCCGAACGCACGTGAATTTTTCGCCTAATTAAGTTAGCAAAGACGTACTCATCGAAGAGAGCAAGCCTTCTGCTTTCCAGTGCCTGTCAATAAATCTCGCGTTCTAAACGTTACATCTAATCGGAATTTACATACCACTGAATGTAAAGAAACCCCTTCGAGGATGAAACTCTCACGCCTTATTTTTGGCGGCCTAAGAGTTGTCATGGCAAAGCTTGATGAGCCATTTATTCCGTACAGACCCCTGCATATACAGCAGCGATTCGACAACCTCAGCGCTGCGAAACAGATCGTTCTCAGCGTTGTTAAACCCTTTCAAACAAAAAATACATTCCTGAAATGCGGGGCCGAAAACGCCTCCGATCTCAAAATACGCGACGCGAACGTTCAGTAGATGTTGTTTCATTTTAAAGACACATGGTACGCTCATACACATTGAGGGTGTATGAGACTATCAGCCCCCCAGATGTCGATGTGTCCCCCCGCCCAAACATGCCCAGGAATGGAGATACAGGGCCGTGAAACACGCTAATTCTTCCATGCTCCGCCCACTGCCTTTTTACGGCGCAGATTCCCGCCGTTCATAACATCCGTTGCAAGCGCGCCTGTCGCGTGCGGCTCCTTGGCACTTTGCCAAGTCCTTTAATTGCGCTCTCAAATACAAGTAAAACGCAATTTCCTGATGCGGATAACATTGGAGGTGCTACAAAATAAGCAGAAGATGATGACGAGGGTCAGAACCTAAAAGCGACTGTGCCACTTCTGCAACATCCCTCGGAGGCCACGTATTTCACGAAACATGAAAATAAAAACTAAAAACGGCATACTCGTTAGTTTAATACAAGCAAGACGCAATTTCCTGATGCGAATAAAATTTAAGGTGTTGCTCATGCTTCAAAATCCATGTACAAGGAGATGAAGATGACACAGGCTAGAAATGAAGCACAACGATGTAAATGTAAACAAAACAAAAATGAAAAAATCAAGGAAAGGCAAATTAGATAAACTGGCCTGTAAATTTCTACGATCCGGCGCCAAAGCCATAGAAATACTTAGAAAACAAACGAGTGGGAACGCTTTGGGCTGTGTATTTTCCATTTTTGTGGGAAATGCGCGGCCCTTGATGGATACTGCAGATGCAGCCGAGTTGCTCTTGAGTTCTGCCCCTTGTCATCATCTTCTGCTCTTATTTTGTAGCACCTCCAATGTTATCCGCATCAGGAAATTGCGTTTTCCTTTATTTGAGAGCGCAATTAAAGGACTTGGCAAAGTGCCAAGGAGCCGCACGCGACAGGCGCGCTTGCAACGGATGTTATGAACGGCGGGAATCTGCGCCGTAAAAAGGCAGTGGGCGGAGCATGGAAGAATTAGCGTGTTTCACGGCCCTGTATCTCATTCCTGGCATCGTTTAGGGCGGCGACACATCGACATCCTGGGGCTGGATATGTCTCATACCGCCTCCAAATGTTATCGAGCGTACTATTGTGACTTTAAGGAAGTCATTATAGGGTTTTTCCAACACTTAATCTACTGCATTACATTAGTTCTGAGGATTAATCAACCTCGTTCCCTGGCTTTTGTTTCGGTTGTTCGGCGCAGATGTTCCTAGATACTCCATACTAGTCTTCGCGAAATCGCATAACAGCGCAGCCATAGCAGCTACATGCTGATGAACACGGCTAGGTACCTTTCACGCACGCCACGGTCACTAAGGGGGGGGGGGGGTGTGTGACACCCTTTGCTAAGGAGGTTTTACAATCCCCGAGTTTTTTTGGCCGACGCTGATGCTTGAATCCTTGGGCCAGACACCTGTAATTTCCAGCAAGAGTAATGGATGGTGGGTTTGGTATCTCTCGAGTCTGGATAAGTAGGTATTCCGTTGGTTACTTCTGTTATTGAATATCAAATTCGGTAAAATTCGGTCTATATACTCAAATGGTTGTGTCACTGGGAAATTATGCTTAGGCCAAGACGTCAAAGAACATGCCATTTGATGCTCCAAACCGAGTAAGCATCTTGATTTGAAATGAATTGGCTGCATAGCTCAAATTATTAGTCGTATGAGGATTGCTCCGGTTATTGAATCAATGTATTTGAACATTCCCGTCATTTCGAATACAGACGAAGAGGCAGTCCACAGTCCATTCAATGTGCGCCATCCAGTGCTCTAATCAGGAGCAGCACCGGATCGATCGTCAACGCATCTTTTTTCTGTTCACATTGCTCTTCTCATCAGACCTCCTCAAACCTACCACTCGCACACCTGCAGCGTCTTGTTCACGAATTCGGTAAAGCGCGTCGCAGATGGTAGTGCTGAGGAAGATGCAGACTTTGAATTATTCCCTCGATATAATCGTCTATGTATAATTAATTAAAAGAAAAACAAATATTGAAAAGGAATACCACTCCAAAAGCAGGCAGATATCCGTTTCGCGCCCGCACTCGCAGACGATCACCATCATCGTCTAGCCAACCCCGAGCTCGTCCGTGCGACAGGTTGACGACATGAGGACATGACTACATAGGGGAGGAGTTGAGAAATAGGATGAACGAGAGAAAATGTAGAAAAAAAAAAAAAGGTTCACAATATGCAAAATTCATGCAACCAAGTGAGGAGGAATTGTATAGAAAAATGAAAGAAAGACATAACTCGATGCGAGTATTAAATACGTGTAAAGAGAAGGAAAAAGGATTACTGTGCAGGAGGAGAATTATTGTTGAACAGCCGCTGGCCAATGAGAGTACTTTAAGTGGTCACTTATACATATTTTCTATAGTATTTGTGATTGATTATTTTAAAAATTATAAATTTATTACTGTTAAATAAGCATGTTAATGTCTTTTAAATTTTAACATGTTAATTACATTTAACGTGTAGCATTTAAACAATGCTAGTAGTAGTACAGTCCTTCTTCGTAGACAGTTTTTAAAAGAGTAGTGGACGCAATGTCGCTTTTATTTTGGCTATGAAGTACAGAGGGGGGGGGAGCAAAAAAAAAGTCACTTTCTTCATTGACTTCCGAGGCGCTATAGTAGTTGGCCGCGTTTAATTGTATTCCGATCGGACATTTCTACCACCATGTTAAAGAGCATATTCAAATACTATCATGACACTCTGCCACAGCCTTCTGGACGAGCGCC